ACTTTCTAGCCTCTGATCTAAAGGAACCCAAATTCCAGGGAAGAACACAATTTTTCTAGTTGAGCAAATACCAGTTGAGAAGGTTGACCTGGTTTATTTTTCTAGGACAAATCTTTCTTTTCCTTTACATAGTTACTTCTTATAAATAGATATTCTTTTTTGATTTTTAGTCATCATTAGTTTGCTCTATTAGTCAGCTAAGAAAATATGTTAAATGAAAGATTGAATATACATGTCTTTCTTCAGATCTTGGTAATAATACATCCAGTATTACCAAGACCTAAAGATGTAATACTGGTAATACTGGATGTATTACCAAGACATAAAGATGTAGTACTGGAATACTGGAAAGCTCTTGCTTCAGTAACTACACTTCAAAGCCAAAACTAGACTGTATGTTCAAGTATTAATGTGGTTAAGAACATCTGCTTTTGCAGAGGGCCTGGACTTGTTCCAACACCCACCTCTGTAAAGTCCAGTTCTAGGGGCTCCATGATCTCTCTGGCTTCCTGTGGTGCTGGGCATGCATATGGTGTACTTGTGTATATGCAGGCAAACACCCCTGAATAAACAAAATTTTAAGATAAAACAACAACTCCGGAAATTGCAGCCAGAATTACTTAAATGTGTAATATTTCCATGAGGAAGTTAAGCGTTGACTATAAGCAAGCAAGATTGAAAATTTAAAGCATAGACTACCCTTTGGGAGACTTACTGGTTTCTCTCAGCCCAATGATGTCCACACATAGATGTGTTTCTCTTGCTATTAATTAGAAATGGAACTACAACCAGTGGTCACCAACTGGTGGTCTGTGCATCCTCTGAGATGGAGAGAGCCATTTTTCTTAGAGGTTCAGCAGCCCAAACTTATATACTAGTTACATTGTACAGGTTCTCTGATATATCATCTGCATTCTTATTGGTTTATACATAAAGTTATATCATTTGTTATATTTGTTGCTTATATAAACCATATTATGACCTTAAATGCAACAGTAGTCATTCTTCAAAAAGACAGCCATATCCTTATCTGTTACATATTTACAACTTAATATTTTTAAGAACATGTTTTCAAAGACAAGATCTCCTGAGTAAATTGGGAGCATGGGGACCTTGGGGTAGGGTTGAAGGGGGAGGGGAGAAGCAGGGAGGGGAGCAGAGAAAAATGTAGAGCTCAATAAAAATCAATTTAAAAAATTCTGAAAATGGAAAAAACATGTTTTCCGCAAGGAAGCATGTTGGATGAAAAGGCTTGTTTACTCCCTTCACATCTAGCAAACAGGCTTTTTAAAATCACTCATAGTAAAGTGTAGGATCAATTATCCATTGTAAACATTCATTCAAACACCATAAAGCTTCAGCATGATTTTGTTCATTTAAATTTAATCTAGCATTGCAATGTCAGCTAGTGTAATTTGATAGAATTTGTAAACATGATAATGTGTGACACTCACTTCAATGACAGTAACTTTACCAGAAGTATAATATGTAGAAACAAAAACTTTTTTCTTTTATATTTGATCATTTGTCATTTCATAACCAAGTCAAACTGAATGTTAAGAAATTTTCTAACTGAAGCAAATGGAAGAATTTGAAAGAAGACCTTTTCTTTCATTCTAGTCTCTTCCATAGAAAACTCCCATAACTCCATTATTTTTCAGTGACCTTTATATCTTATTTATCATCTCAGCTTCTCAGTCCAACCTATTTTCAGATTGTTTCCATCAGAATAGTTTTTATTTAGTAACAAGTTAGGATCATAATCTCAGTGCTTGAACACAGTAGACATCCAGTGTGGCTTATGTGTTGGGCTATTCCCCCACTATCTAGAATGGTTTTACAGCTATCCTGTCTACACCAGTGGATTTGAAGGTCCTCAGCTGTATAAAGTGAGAATCAGTTTGCTCATAGCCTGTTGTCAGTAGTAGTCACTTGACTCCAACCTAAGTACAAAAAAAAAAAAAACAGGGCTAGCATATGAGGTATTTGGAGATAATTTGTACCCCAATTAGTTGTATCTTTCTTCTTCCTTGTCATGTCTCATTGTAAGGTTTTGGTAGCCACATTGCTTGGGAAAATAGTTTTGTTATTTTTAAGTAGCTTCTAATTTATACTAAACCAGATTAATCTCACCTGTGCAAGTTGTGCATGGTATGGCTCTGCCTTACTTCCAGACTTAACGCCTGGCACTTGATACTGCTAAATATCTATCTATATTAAGTGAATTTTAAATAGACACTCTCACTTTGTTCATATTTATGCAAGTGTAATTTAAAAAAATGGACAAAATTTGCAAAATTATAATATTGATTGTAAACTGAAAATGTGATAACGTCAAGAGAAACTGCTGCGTATGTTATTTTCACTCATAGTGCAGGCGACTAAAATATTTTTAAAGTAGCCTTTTAGAAATACTGATATAAAATTATATTTATTAAGTATTGTGAATCTAAGTTACAATACTTGCCTTGTTTATCTGACAGAAAATTGTTTCTACAATATGTTCTCTGGCTGATTTTATATGAATATTCATTATAACATTTATTATTACTGTTATTTTTTTCAAAACAGAGTCTCACTATGTAGCTCTGGCTGTCCTGGAGCTCCTTTGTAAACCAGGCTGCCCTTGAACTCACTGAGATCTGCCTGCCTCTGTCTCTTGAGTGCAGGCATTAAAGGCATGTATTACAACACCTGGCCTTTTTGTTTTGGTTTCCATTTTATATTTTCTAAACTTTAGCCTTTAGTAGTTCTGGGTTCACAGCAAAACTGAGTAAATATCATAATTCCTGTATACTCTCTGTTCCTACAAATCTACTCAGAATCAACATTCATACCAATTAACTATCATTGATGAACTTATATTGATATGCTTATTATCACCTGTAATTGTCATTATGGGTCATTGAGGGGTACATTCTATGATTCTGATCATACATATTAGGTACTTAATTTGAAAAAATAAAGGTTCATATGTTTTTTCTATTATGTAGTTATTAGTTCTGAGTTATACTTCCATATACTTCATATACTTTTAGTGATATTACCAATGTTTGCTCCTTTCCCTTCTCTCTCTCCCTCCATCCTTCCTCTTTCCCTTCTTCCCCATTTTCATCCTCCCCCATGCTATGTGTCTCTCCATTTATTTATTTTTCTAGTTGATGCAATTACAGTATTTTCATAAAACAATTCATTTGTAATCTAAATAAATTACAGATTGAAAGAGTGCCCTTGTCAGAAGATAGAAGAGACTTCAGCTTTTTTTTTTTCAGAACGTATATAAAAGTAGAGCTCCTTATAAGTCCTTTGTGTTCTCTGTACTGGAGAGCACGGTCACTAGAGTTTACCAAGATGTCTGTCTCAATAAACACCCGAAGACCCGTGCATGTGAGATAATTATTTGAAATGTAAGTCTGGTCTTGGTGGCATATGCCTTAGGTCCAGCATTTGGGAGGCAGTTAGATTTCTGTGCATTTGAGGCCAGTCGGAGCTACAAATCTTGTTCTAGGACAGTTGAGACTATCTAGTGATGAAATAAAGATTTTTTAGAAAAATGAAAAAAAAGAAGGAAAGAAAGAAAAGCAAAAAAGAAGAAAATGTAGTAGAGAATTAATATTTTGTAAATTATTGTCAATGCCGTATTAGGTAACCAATAATGATACTTATATTGCACCAAGTAAAAATTACATAGTTAAGTACATTACAGTTTATTAAATGAATTTATTAAATGAAAATAGGTCAAATGGATTGTTTAATACATGATATCCACTTTTACATGTAAAATTCTGTTTTTTTTTAAATTTTTCTTTCATACATTACATCCCAACAGCAGCTTCCTCTCCCTCCCCTCCTCCCAACCTGCCCCCTCACTTCCCCCTCCGCCCCAGGTCCACTCATCCTCTTTTTCCATTCAGAAAAGAGCAGGGCGCCTAGGAATATCCACCGAGCATGGCATGATATGTTACAGTAAGACTAGGCACAGATTCTCATGTCAGGACTGGACAAGGCAACCTAGTAGGAGAAAAAGGGTCCCAGGAACAGTTAAAAGAATTAGAAACACCCCCACCTCCACTGTTAGGAGTCCCACAAGGACACCAAGCTACACAACTATAACATATGTGCAGAGGACCTAGCTCAGACCTGTACAGGGTCCATGATTATTGATTCAGTTTCTATGAGCCCTGTTTAGTTGATTCTGTCAGCCATGTTCATCTACCCCTCTGGCTCCTACAGTCCTTCCCTCCTTCCTCTATTTCTGCAGGGCTTCTCCACTCTAATGTTTGGCTATGGGTCTCTGCATCTGCTCCCATCAGTGGGTTAATGAAGCCTCTCTGATAACTATTGTGCTAGACACTGATCCTATGAGTATAGGAGAACATCATTAGGAATCCTCATTGATTTTTTTTTTCTTTTGGCCAGTCCTGTTTGGTTCCATCCTAGGTCTCTGGCCCTGGTCCTCCAGGCAGTGTTATGCATGGGCTCTCTCTCAACGTGTGGGTCTCAAGTTGGACGAGTCATTAGTTGGCCACTCCTACAGGTTCTGAGCCACTGTTATCCCAGCACATCTTGCAGGCAGGACAAATTGTAGATTGAAGGTTTTGTGGCTGGGTTGATGTCCCAGTCCCACCACTGGAAGCCTTGCCTGGTTACAGAAGATGGCCAGTTCAGACCCTGTATCCCTGTTACAGAACAGATTTTACGGGCTGTTGGAATTACCATTTTTGTTTCATTTTCCTTATTGGCTCAGCCCCATGTAAAGCCCTTAGCATTAATAACATATTAAATTATGGAGGAATTATCCTACTGTTAGATGCATAGTATTGACTACAGCTAAGTACTTGTGTTGTAGAAAGGTAAGGAAGTCAGCCTGCCGTCCCTGATGCTGTGTAGTTAGTTTGTAAAAGAAACAGGATTTCATGCAAGTGGTCAGGGAAGTTATAAACACTTTGAAGAGCTGACTGACTTTGTGCTTTGACTAACAGTGTTTGCTTTGTTCACAGTAACGCTAGTACTGAATGGAAGTGGCTTGTAGACAGAGCACAAGTTGGCAGCCGATGGACTTGGCTTCAAGCTCAGATTTCAGAGCTAGAATACAAAATCCAGCAACTAACAGATATTCACAGGCATATTCGTGCCTCCAAGGTATTATCAGTACTGTTTTATTTTTGCTAAAATTGTTACGTGTATAATTTCTCCTCAATTCTTCACACAAAGTGATTTTTATTAAGTTTCATAACAGCTAGTTTAATATATTCATACATTAATTTCTTAAAACTGATGCTACTTTTGTAAAGCCTTTATATTAAGATTATTTGATCATACTTTTTAACAATTAAGAACTGAGTTCTATTTGATAAAAATAGTATACTTCTTTCCAAAAATGTTGTTATGATCATATATATATATTTATATATATATACATATATGTATGTATATCATAACTTTCCATCTTATTCATTTTTATGTGTACAGTTTTATAGTATTAAGTACTTTAATAATATTAGGCATCCATTTCCATAACTTTTCATCTTTTAAAACTGAAAATTGTATACCTTTTAAACAATGACTATCCAATTTTTCTTCTCCTTAATAATCATGTTTGTTTATAAGTATATCATATATGTGGAAACATAATAGTACTTATCTTTTTATGACTGGTTTATTTTAAAGCCTACTGTCCTTCCAGTTTATGCACACTGTAGTATGTTTGAATTTCTTTCCTTTTCAAAAGCTGAATAATTGTGTATTTGTAACACTTTGTTTATCCATTGAGCCTGTGAGGTTTAAGTTGTTCCACATTTTAACTGTTGTGAGTATGCTATGAATAGTGTAAAATCTAACTCTGGTGGTGCTCTTTCCAGTGGAACATGATGTGCACCTTTAATCCCAGCACTTGGGGAAGGACATAGTGAGTTCCACGTTAGCCAGGGTTCCACAGTGAGAGCATTTCCCAGAAACAAACAAACAAAAATACACAGTACTCCTTCAATTCTTTTAGCTATACATCTAGAAATGGAATTATAGGATTGCATTATAATTCTATTTTTAATTTTTAATGAACTATATTATACAGTAATTCTAATTACTCCAAGTTGTGACCAACATTCTGTTGGGTTTTTTTTTTTGCTTTTTTAAATGATATTACATGTTGTAAAGTGATGTCTCTTCAGTTATGATTTACATTTCCCTAATATTCATATCCATATTAATGATGTTGAGCTTATTTTTATGTTTACTGGTTATTTTATATATTCTATGGAGAAATATACATCAAATCTTTTGCTTATTTGCTTTGTTGTTGCTGAACTTTAGGGGTTCTCTGTATATTCTAAATGATAATTGCTTCTCTAATGTGTGATTTCCAAATCTTTTTTACCATTTCTACCATTTTGTTTGTTGTCTTTTTACTTTGTATATATTATTTTTATGAATTCTAATTTATCTATTCTATTTTTATTGGTGCCTTTGGTGTTACTATGTTTTCTTCAAGAGTTTTATGGTTTTAGGTCTTACATTGAGGTATTTGGGTCTATTTTGAGTTGACTTTTGTGGAGTTGGATAGTCTAATTTCCATTCTTTTGCATGTAGATTTTCAGTTTCCCCAGGGCCAAATAGTTGAAAAGATTTTGCTTTTTCTACTGAATGGTTTTGACACTATTCTTAAAATCATTTGACAATATATGCACTACTTTATTTCTCTGTTCTATTGGTCTATTTGTCTGTTTATGGTTAGGCTATTATTACACTATTTTGATTAGTCCAGTCACTTTAGAATCAAGGAATGTAAGTCTTCCAGTTTTTGGGTTATATTTTTATTTATCAAATGAAAATTCAACATGCCACATGAGACACAGTACAAGCATGCACCAGTTTTGCAATACTACTAGCAGAGAATCCTTTCTCTTTTCCAGCATTTGATGTGGGTTACTTTGTTGGTCTTTGCCATTCTGGCTGGGATCATATGAAATCACAAAGTTGTTTTGATTTGCATTTCCCTAATTGCTAGGGATGATGAACATTTTTAAAGATATTTCTCAGTCATTTTCTCCACACCCTGCTTCTTTTGAGAACTCTCCATTCTGGTTCCAGGCCCATTTTTTGAATGAGTCATTTGTTTTGTTTTTGACTCTGTTTTTCGAGTTCTTTGTATGTTTAGATACTAAAACTCTATCAGATGTGTAGGTGGTCAACATTCCTCCCCTGTTCTTCAGGCTTCCTTTCACCGGCTTGTTTCTTTAGCTGTGCAGAAGTTTTTCACTTTCATTAAATTTCAACTATTGTTGGCCTTAAGTCTTGAGGAAATGGAGTGCTATTCAGGAGGTCCTTTCCCATACCTGCACCACACAGGCACTGCCTGTGTTTTCCTCTAGCGGTGTCAGTGCTTCAGGTTTAGTCTTTGATTCATTTGGAGTCAAGGTTTTATGCAAGGTGATGGATAATGGGTGTAATTTCGTTCTTCTGCAATATGGACAATCAATTTTTCTCAGCATCATTTGTTGAAGATGTTTTCTTTTTTCCAACCTATGTTTTTGGCCTCTTTGTCAAATATTAAGTGCCTGAAGTTAGATGTGCTCATGTTTTGGATTTTGATTTTGTTTCATTGGCTCACATGTCTGTTTTGTGCCGGCATATTGTTTTTATTACTCTGTAATATATCTTAAAATCTGAGATTTTAATCCACCCAGCATTGTTCTTTTTGTTCAGAATTTTTTTGGCTATACATGGTTCTTCTGTAGTTCCATACGAAGTTTAGAATACTGTTCTTTCTCTGTTTCTGTGAAGAATGGATGGGGTTTTTCATTTGGAGTGCACTGAATTTGTAAATATATTTTTGCAGAATTGTCATTTTCACAGTGTTCATGCTAAAAACCCATGAGCGATAGTGTCTCTCCATTTTCTAATGTCTGTCTCTTTTTGCATAAATTTAAAGTTTTCATTATAGATTTCCCTCATTTCCTTGGCTTGGTTTATTCCTAGATATTCTCTGAACCTATTGTAAGTGGGAGTGTATCCATAATCTCCCTCTCTATGCATTTGTTTGTGTACAGAAAAGCTATTGATTTGTGCACATTGATACTCTTATGTTGCTGAGTTTGTCATTTCTAGAAGTTTTCTGATAGAATCTTTAGAATCTCCATACTATATCATCTGAAAAAGGGGATAGTTTTACTTTTTTCCATATTTGTATTGAAAAATGTGTTTTTAAATTTTTTATTCTTTTGAACTTTTACTCATATATGGCTTAATATATGGTCTTTTGGGAAAATGTACAATGTATACTTAGGAATCTATATGCTGCTATTGGATGGATAGTTCTATGTATAGCTGTAATCTCGTTCACTATTTTAGATCCTCTGTTTATTTTATTCTTCAATAGTGAGAATAACTATTTTATTGTGTAACTATTTCTTCACTTTTATTATGTTTTACTTCCTGTATTTTGGTCAATTATTAACTGTATAAATGTTTATAATTGTTATGTCTCTATTGATTGACATCAGTATTGCCACTCTGTTCTCTTTTGCTTGCTATTTGTGTGGTATGTTTTTCTATCAATTTCAGTTTATTATACGATTGGATTAAGTATTTCTTCTAGACAAGTTTACATTGATAAGTTTTTATTTGTCTCTGTTGTTCTGTGACTTTTCATTGGAGGGTTTAATCCATTTAGAATCAAAGTACTTAATTACAAGGATCAATTTACTTTTGACATCTTGCTGTTTGTTTTCTGTATGTTGTATGACTTTCTTGTGACTCATTTCTTGCATTACTGTCCTCTTTTTGTTCATTTTATTTTGTACTTTATTTTATTCTGGGGCTAAGTTTCACTGTGAAGTGGTAACTGGTCAGGAAGTTGAAATGGAGATCAGGTGCCCTTGAATTTACAGACATTCTCCTACTTCTCCCAAGTGCTGGGGTTAAGGACTTGTAATACCATGCCTGGATTTACGTATTTTTTGGTGTTGAAAGTCCTTCTAGTTTTCTTTTGTGTATATACTATAGTTATTTTATTTGTGGTTACTACTTAAGATTGCTTCTAACTTTACAAAATTTTACCATTCTAATTTGAATTTATAACAGTACAACTTCAACAACATATAGAATTCTCTTCCTTTCTTTATGACAAAATCTACTTTTGTCTTTTATGATGTAAAACATAAATTAATAATTTAAATATACTGATCTCTTAAATAATAATAGAAGACAAAGGTGAAATCACAAACACTGTTAGTTTTGCTATCTTTTATAATTCTCATGTATTAACTTACATGAGCTTTTTATTTCCAACTATTTTCTCAAAAAACTCAGTTATCAAGCTGAATTTTTCTTCTATTTTGTTGATTTTCCCCTATGTGTTATTCTCTTTTCTCCCCAGGTCATAGATTGATTTCCTACTTCATTTATCTGTTTGAGTCCTCTTTGAGGTCACTGATCTTTTTTATTTTATTTTTATTTATTTATTTATTTATTTATTTTTTGCTAGTAAACTTTTTAGGTCCTTATCTGGGCTTTTATCTTCTTTAGTATATTTTAATTTAGTAATTATTATTCTTTAGAGTTGCTATAGTGGGCTTTTGGTTTTGTGTATTTCTACATTTACTCTTGGTTTGGGTATCTCTTCTAGTTTGGGAGAAATCCTTTTCGTTATTTGTATATTCCTGTGCACTCAATCCCCAGTTCTACTTTTTGATGTCCCCTTTTCCCCTTCTCTCTGCAGGTTGTGTTTGGTTTTTCTTTCTTCTTTTTGGTCTATTATTTGTTTCTCTGTAATTTTCAGGTACCCCATCACCCCATCACTTTTTGGCACATTTCCAAACTCTCTTTCCCCTTTTCTCTTTGGATCAAGGCTTGCTTTGTTTTTCTTCCTCCCGCCCCTTCCCTTCCCCTCCTCCCTCCGTGTCTCTCTCTCTCTCTCTCTCTCTCTCTCTCTCTTTTCTTGTCACTTCTCCTTAACTATGGTACATTTATATGGAGACAATTTCTAGTTCATCGTCTTACTCTAGTGGTCTAATCACATAGGATTTAAAAAAGGTTGGATTTTTAAAGTAATTTTTTAATTATGTGTGTGTGTGTGTGTATGTGTGTGTTTGTGTATGCATTCGTGTGTGCATGCTCTCATATGCCAGAAGACTATGTTGGATCCCCTGGAGCTGGAGTTGTAGGTGACTGTAGACTGCCGGACATAGGTGCTGGTATCCAAATTCAGTTGCTCTAAAAGTACATGTTCTTCACTGCTGAGCCATCTCTCCACCTCCAATCAGTCAGTTTTTTAAAGAGAGATAAACTGTATTTTCAATTTTAAATCTATGTTTTCCATGAGGACAATAAGATGTGATCACTTTTATTGTTTTTTACCCCCTAGGGGATAGTGATCTTAGAAGAATGTCAGCTGCCAAAAGACATTTTGAAAAAACAGATACAATTTTCAAATCAAGCAGCTTCATTAAACACTTCAGTGAATTCTCAGATTCCCCAAAGGAGCGAAGAGACCTTGCCAGAGCACGACTTTGAGATGTCACCCAGCAGCCCTACACTACTTCTTCGAAACATAGAAAAACAGGTAATCTTAGTGTTTGCTTTATGAAATAACTTTAGATAAGGTTTTGCTTCTTAAACTATTTGATAGGGTTTAGATATCAAATATCTTCCAAAAGTCACATTAGTCTCTAGCTCATTGTACATTAGTCTCTAGCTCATAGACCCAATCCTTGAAAGTTGATTGAATCATGAAGGTTCTGACCAGATAAACTAAGTGGTAAATATGTAATTTGCTAGAAGTCATAAGGTGGGGTCTTGTTGGAGAAAGCAGGCCATTATGAACAGATTTTTTAAAAACCAACACTATGGCTTCATTTTCAAGGATGGTTCAGTATATGCAAGTCAGTAAATATAATACAGCATATAAGTATACTTTTGGAGAGAAATTCAGAATCTTAATGATACTTAACTGTACTAAAGTGTTAACTGTTTCTTTGTAGAGTGCACAGCTGACTGAGATCATTAACAGTTTGATTGCTCCTCTCAACTTGTCTCCAACTTCCTCACCCCTCTCTTCCAAATCCTGCAGCCACAAATGTCTAGCTAACGGCATTTCAAGGAGGTAGGTATTACTTGAAGAGTTTGACTTCTAAATTTGGCTTATTTTATCTTAATTTTGTTAATCTATACCTTTTATAGCCATTTTTAGGATTACAGTATTACAATCATAGATCATGGGTACAGTTTTAGATATAAATAAGTTCATAGGATAAATATAGTTACCTATGAGGAACTTTTATGCTTCTAAAAATCATACTAGTGATAATATTTGCTATGGAAGTATTACCTTAATACTGTGACTTCCATTTTGCACATTCTTTATTCTTGACCTTCAGTTTACTGAAACTTAAAAAAGACCCTAGATATGGTTAGACACAGACGATTGGCACATAACACCATATTTTTACATTAATTTATATATTAATAATCACATTATTAGTTATTTTAGGAACCTTCTAATATAGCAAAAATAAAATATATAACCCATATAAAAATTAATTAATATAAAAATATTAATATTAAATATTAATATTAATGGAATGGCTATCCAATTCGTGAATGATATTAGTGAATAGAAACTAAATCTTAAGTAAAAATTTTGTTTCTAATTGACTATTCAGATAGCTTGTTTTAAAATATTTCTGAAGTTTTATTTAAGCTCAGTCATTTTCTCCTGCATCTATCATGAAAGTAGTTTTTCTACTGATTTTACTTGATTTTTGACATAGTGTCATATTTTGCATCATTGATGCTTCCCTTGGAAAGTAAGGCTTGCTGGTTGTATAGGGCAAATATGACAGTCTCATTTACAAGAATCCTGTTTTAGGGATCCATGATGAAAGTCAATTACAAGTTGAGTCGTAAAATGATGAATGAGCATTGTGGTTTCAGACTAAATACATTTTCTATATCATTTTGCTTATCTAAATTATGTTTATTATCATACACACACACACACACACACACACACACACACACACACACACACACACACACGTTTCTATTGCTGTGAAGAAACACCATGACCAAGCAACTCTTATAAAGGAAAACATGTGAGGTGGTGGTTTACAGCTTCAAAGGTTCAGTCCATTATCATGATGGCAGGGAATCTGGCAGCATGCAGGCAGACATGGTAGTGGAGAAGTAACTGAGAGTTCTACATCTTGCAGACAGTAGGATGTCAACTGAGACACTGGGCAGTATCTTGAGCATAGGAAACCTCAAAGCACACAGTGACACTCTTCCTCCAACAAAGCCATACCTCCTCGTAGTGCCACTCCCTGTGAGATGATAGGGGCCAATTACATTCACCCTACCACATAATCGTGTAAATTTTCTATATTACAGGAAGAGAATAGTCAAAATGGGCATGGTGATGCATTTCTGTCATCCTAGCTGCTTGCAAGACTGGGGCAGGAACATTGCAAGAGCTGGAGGTGTGGCTTAGTTGCAGTACACTGACATGGCATATGTGAAGCTCTGTACTCAGTTTACCATTATTCAAGAAAATACATGGGAACAATCAATTATTTCATGAGCAGTTTTGAATATCAGATAACAATTGTGATTTATTTTATTAAAGTTTTTACATATTATCTGTCTTCTATTTTTGACAGTATATAAGCTTCAAAAAAGTAGAATATCTTTGGTTTATCTTGTTAAATTGTAGTTTGGGGTTTTATTTTGAACACTTGCATCAGTAACAGACATATTATGACCATCAATTAATCTGAATGAATCAAATATTTATTTGTCATCTTTCAGTCCACATAAGAAATATACCTGAGATGATCAGCTTTGAATACAGATACATTTATTTTGGTTTTCAGTTTTAGAAGTTCAGTCACTTGGTTATTAGCTTGAGGCTGGCAGTGAGACAGCACACCATGGTGAGAGTATTTGGTGGGACAAAGTACCCTGATACCCTGTTCATCAGGGAACAAAAAGGAAGACAAGAGTGTGGGTTCTCAAGCACACACCCATAAGCATCCAAACACACAGGCACACACACACAATCTTTAAAAAATGAAAAATTCAAACCAGTAGAAAATATCTATAAGGTAGTAAGGGACAACTTATAGGAAGAGAAAGCCTTTTTTACAAGTCATGTAAGTAAGCTTGCGTGCATGCCATGAAATCTCTTTTGGTTAAATAGAGCCTTTTGTGATTTTACCTGCATTCTGGGTAGTTGACATGTCATATAAGTAACCTCACAAGTAAAACATTTTAGTTCTATCAAAGTGTAAAAGTGTACTCATTCTAGCTTTACACCATATTATATTATAATTTTGCATATTTCGGAAGAAATTTAAAGTTTAGCCTTTTTTTAACTTCTGAGGGAGTTAAATAAAACCATGATAAATACTTTTTAAATATTTAGATCAATTTTCATAAGTATCTTAATAACCTTTTCTCATACTTTCTTTAAACCCACTGTTAATTATTTTCTGGGGAACTTTTTTATGCACTTGTTATTATTCATTGATTTCTAACCCTCATTTACTAATTAAGGGAACTGTCTACCTGAAAGTGGTAAGGTTGGATTTAATTTTTTAGGTTTATTAATCCTAGCACTAAGACCTGAGAAGAGTCACTGAGAACCAAATAAGTATATTTAAAACTCAAAATAAATGAAGCATTGCATTCTGTCAATGAGGTAGTTATACATTTTTATACCTGATATTTTAAAATGAACATAAGATGCCATATATTATTTCAGAAAGTGAATTTACACTTGAAACGAGGTCTAAATTTTTGTTTGACTTTGCCTTAATGAGTTCCAGAATGGGATATGAAATTACATTCCCACGAACCATTGTCATACCGTCACCACTAGTGGTGACTGTCTCACGTGCAGCCATCCCTTCTAGCTGGCGTCAACTATGCTTGAAACTAAGTCATATCACAGTAGTCACTTCTCAATTAGGAGAATATTGTTGGCTAGCAATATTTTCTGGGTTACTGCTCTCAATATAAGTTTGGATTCTGATGGATGACACTAATTATCATATTAGCTAGATATATGATGTCAATGAGGAGATGAAACTTCCCTGCTGTTTTGAAAGATTTGCCACTAGGAATTACTTTTATTTGTAAAACAGCTTCTTTTCGTTTTTATCTCTAATGATAGAAGTGTAAAACCTAATTTTATACAGGGGAATTTACTGGTATACTGCTAAAATTATGCCTAGAAAATATGTAATTCTATAATAACATGTTTATTTTGGTCTATTAATTGGAAAAATGAGAATACAAAATTTACTGTACACTGATTTCTTAGAAAAATATTTGAGGGATATACAGCAAAAAGTTTGTGGAAACAGTATTTCATCTTAGAAGGCTGGGTTCAGAAAGTATTTTAGCTTTTATTTATGTGTGGTAATACATATGTGGGTACCTAGGTGTACATGTTCCCAGTATGCTTACTGAGGTCAGAGGACAACTGTGGAGGCTATCCATCAGTACCTGCTTCCTTTTGAGATAGTAATCTTCACCGTATGGGCTCAGCTTCTCAGAATCTGCGTGTCTTCTCTTATTGTGCAGTTGACGGGTTTACAGATCCAGCCACCACACCACACTCCTTGCATGCTTTCTGAACAATCCAGACATATGTGCTAATGCTGGCAAAGTGATCCCCTATGCCTTTAACTTTATGTTTTCCTTTTGTTGGTATGTTTCCATATTTTCTTTGAAGTGAAAAACACTACTTTTTTTTGAACTCAGATAAGAAATAACAGTTAACAGTAGCTTTCTGGTTTTTGTTTTTGTTTTTGTTTTTTTCTTTTGTCTTCATGCTTTCAAATCCTTTTTAGGCAGGTATTGTGGCGCATGTCTGTCATCCTAATCCTTTGAGGCTGGCATAGATGGATCATGAGTTCCAGGCCAGGCCAGCTTGGGCTATAGTGAGTTTGTGGCTAAATTTGGCCTTCATAGTAAGAACTTTTCTCAAAAACAACTACAAAAAGAAATAATAATATTCTCAAAAAAAACAAAAAGAAATAATAATAAAATGCCCCATTTGAAGTTTATAGCCAGAGGTAAGAATAAAAACAACACTATAACCATCAGTTCATGGAAAACATTAAACATAGAAAATATATTAAAAACCACCTATTTCTAGACTTAATTATCTCAATATTTTGCTAATTCAGTTAAGCAATTTCTATCTCTAGCATGATTGTTCACTCCAGAAAGATTTTAAAAGTAAATTCTGGCCCAGTGGTGGTGGTGCACGCCTGTAATTCCAGCACTTGGGAGACGGGCAGGGGGATCTCTGTGAGTTCAAGTCCAGCCTGGTGTACAGAGCAAGTTTCAGGACAGCCAAGGCTGTAACATAGAGAAACCCTGTCTTGAACATATATGTATATGCACATTTAAAAACTCCTTGAACTGTATTGTTTGACAAGCTATATATCTCAATTATTAACTAGTTAAATATGCTAATATTTGCCTTTGTACTTGAAAAAAATCCCTTTTATCTGGGAATGGTGCACGATCCCAGCACTTTGTACTTTTTACATTTTGAGGTAGGTCTTACTAAATTGTGTAAGCTGGCCTTTGCTTTATTCTGTATCCCAGGCAGGACTTGAACTTACAGTCTGATTCATTGCTGAGGTTACCTGAGTAGCTAGTATTACACACTGGTGTCCCCAAGCCTGGCAAAAGACTTTAGGTGACAGTTTGTGTTATTACTAACTGCTATAAATATCACTGACATAGTTATTGAATGTATTATAGTTACCATCTTCCCTGTTCAATTCTTCTTTTTGTTTTTAGTCAATCAACTGCCCAGACTTCTTTGATCTTTCTGATTTCCCGTTGCTGTGTGAACATTCTTGAATTTTTTGGTTTATCACTCTAAAAGAATATTTTTATAGTACATGTAATATGATTTAAACACAATAGTACTGTTAAAAATATTATCTTTTGTGTGTAGCATGTGTGGGTATGAATGTGTATAGGGATGTGGTATGTGGTTGTATGTGCATGCATGTGGAGGTCAGAGGTCAAAGCTGGATGTCTCCCTCAAGCATTTGCCACCATATTTTCAGAGACAAGATCTCACTGAACCTGGAGGGAATTCATCCAGCAGAATTTTCAGTTTCACTTAAGACTATCTTTTACCCCAGTATTGGGGTTATGAAAAAAAAAAAAGCAGAGGTATTCTTGCACTTGGCTTTTACTAGGCATCCAAACTCAGGTTCTTGTACTTCCATGGGAGGTATTTTACAGACTGAAATTTCTTTCCTTCCTTCTTTCTTTTCTTCTTTCTTTCTTCCTTCCTTCCTTCCTTCCTTCCTTCCTTCCTTCCTTCCTTCTTTCCTTCTCCGCCCCCCCCCCAATATGTACCATGTTCTGTCTGCATGTATGCCTGCAGGCCAGAAGAGGGTACCAGATCTCATTATGATGGTTATGAGCCACCATGTGGTTGCTGCAGACTGAGCTATTATCCTAGACACAGAAGAACTGCAAAAACCAATTGTTCTTAAGTCGGATAGCATTATTTGGTTGGTGATATGCCAAAGGTAAAGGAACAAATGGAGACCTCTACTCAGTGTTTCCAGGTTCTTGTCACCATTAAAGAAATAATAAGTAAGGCATTTGGAGCAAGTTTCTTATAAGGTAGAGTACATGGTATAGTTGGCTTCTCAGGAAGAAACTACACAAATCTCCAGTAGCTCCTTTGTTGCCCAAACTTAAAATGATGAAGGATTATTCTTGAGTTAATGTAGAAGAAAGGCGAGGGATTACAGGAAGGAGTGTGGGTGTGTCCTGGAATAGGGCTAACCCAGCCTTTCTGCCCTTATGTGGGGTTTTCCAGATGTAGCATGCTGTCAGATACATGACAGAAGCAAGCAAATTTGCAAGGCTAGTGATCTGGAGATGTATTTATAATGAATCAAAGTGTAGTCAGCAGCTGTCCTAGCAGATGTTGAGGAGTCTCATAATGTACTACCCTTTACCAAGTATGCTCTTTGTCGCTTTATTCCTATGTATCTAGCCTATCTCGATGTAATGTAATGTTAGACTACTAAGTCAACTAGTATTGGTCTGCATAAAGTTGAAAAGCTTACTTTCTATTAGTACATATATAATGTATCAATATATTAGCATATTACATATTAGTATAATATTACAGTATATTAGTATATTAATATGTAATATAATAATGCAAGTTAAGTGTGTCAACATAAAACAGCTCTCCAAAATTCCCAAGACAGTTTATTCTGAGTGATTGCACTTAGGAACAGATTCAGGTTGACCTGAATAATAGTTTTCACTGTGAAAACAATTTCATGAACATTTTTATGAACAAAAGAAACACAGACATCAAGACACCTAACAAATATAGGGTTGGAGATTCAAGTAGGCCAGTCACATCAAAGCGTTAGCATTTTCAGGTGCTGACTCTGACGTTATTAGTTTTTTGCATTGATGGAAGCTGGTGGAAGCATCTGGCCTTTCCTCTTCCCAGAATTCTTTTAGTCTGGTTGCTCTGCCTTACTTCCTGCCTGGCTACTGGCCAATCAGCATTTTATTAGACCAATATGAGTGACAAGTCATTACAGTGTACAAGAGCATTATCCCACAGCAGGTAATAACTTATTTATTAATATATTCCAAAGGTTCTTTTTTATTGCTAGTCAAAATAAAACTAGATCAGATTCAGAAATGGATAACAAATGGCTATTAACGAACAAAAGATACCACCTAATTTTTCTCTTGATGTGTAATATTCCAACATAATCATGATGTTTTAACCTGCAGCTTGTAAAATCTTTAAGATAGATGTCTTTTTTTTCTGGGAACATGAGTTCACAAAACCTTAACTATAATATTAAAAATTGCTATAAAGAGTAATTATAAAATTAAATTTTCCATATATAGCTTATTTATTTTATAGTTGTAAGTTACATCATAAGTTTTAAAAGTTTCTAAGCTATAATAGGATTGTAGCTGTTTCAGAATTCACTAAAATTTGAAATGCAGTAAGCTTGCTTATTTAAGAGGAATTTAAAATGCAGTTAGAAGACCTTGGAACTTTTTAAGCCTTAGCTCTGATGTACTTCATCTAAACATGAAAAGAAACTGGCATAAATAGTTTAAACTATGTCATCTGTAAATTATTGATTTACAAGAAACATTCATCTTATATTAAAAACATTTTAACTTTGAAAGTGTACCTTTTGCAGCAGAAAATAGAAATTATTTCTATATTTTTACTATGTAATTCTCCATTAATATCAATTATTTTACCTATTGTTATCACAAATTGACTAAAAGTTAATACTCTTCTATCATAATAAACCAAGAAAATTTATATTTAGTTTTCTTTGTCTTCTGTTCATTTCATTTTACCCCCCATCTCCAATTATTTCATACATTTCAGTGCTTCAGAGAATTTAGATGAGCTCTCTTCCTCCAGTAGCTGGTTACTTAATCAGAAGCACAGTAAGAAAAGGCGAAAAGACAGGACAAGACTGAAATCTCCATCCTTGGCTATCATGAGTACAGCTGCCCGAACAAGACCCCTTCAGAGTTTCCATAAAAGAAAACTCTACAGATTGAGCCCCACTTTTTACTGGACTCCTCAGGTAAGGCTGCATTTGGGAAAACATGAAGAAAGATTCCACTACCAGTATATTTTGAGTACAACTGGGTATGAGTTATATATATATATAGATAGAATAATTACATACAGAAATCTTAAAATATAGTTTATAAATTAGATAATAATAGATACAATAAAAATTGGGATTTAATATTTTTGAACATAGCAGTAAACTCTGTGTATTCTAAAATTTCTCTTATTCTCAGTTTTTTTAAAAAAATAATGATTGTTGTTTTCTTTGCTGCTGAAAATTTAAAAAATTTAAAATTTTGGTCCCCCAAAAGCTAAACCTGCATTCTCCACTGAGCTATGACCAAGTCCCTGGCTTAAAAAAATAAATGTATGTTGCTGTTTTGTAAGTAAATTAAACTAATTTTTAAAGAAAACAAAATGTCAAGGTGATCTTTAAAACATTCAGGTAAGGTAATAATGAAATGTGCCTCATATTTGTGTTAGAAATGTTGACTCAGGTAAACACAAGGTATAAGACTAGTGGCAAAAACCAAAGATGATGGAATCTTGCTAAAGAATGTAGGAACTAGCTTTTTCTAGGCTTCTTCTGGCCAAATGTGGGAATATTCGAGCATGAAAACTTTTAATTTGTTCCCTCCCTCCCAGGCAGGGTCTGGGCTTGATTTACTGTGTAGCCAAGTATGAGCTTGAACTGATTCTCCTGTTTCTACCTCTGGGGTGCCTGGATTATGAGTATGCTGGGAATTGAACCCAAACTTTGTGAATGCTAGGCCAGTACTTTACCAACTGAGCTGTATCTCCATCCCAATAAGGACAGTGATGGATTACTAAAAACACGAGAGGAATAGGGATGTGGCTAAATTGGTAAGAGTGGTAAGCATTCACAATGCCCCAGGGAATCTCGGCAGATGCAAGGTCATCCTAGGCTACGTGATGTGGTCCTAGCCAATGTGACCTACAGGCACAGTGTCTCAAAACAGCCCAATAGAAAACAAAAACCACATGCACCCATGAGTTCCCAGTGATGACACAGAAATGATGGAGTGGCTGCTAAGTAGGAATGCAGGTAGACAGGACAGGGTGCTAATAAATAGAATGGATGAGAAAATGAATAGTTCGAGATTAATAACAGCCTGAGGTGAGGCCCGAGGAGGAGATTGTAGACAGGATATCTGCATAGACTTAAAAGTACAACCACCCTTCCTGCCTGTTGCCAAGGGTTCATAATAATTGTATTATTGACAATCAGAAAATATGTCACCCAAGTTGTCAAAGCCAGAGTTGCCTACTAGAAAGATACAGTATTATGTAAAGATGTATCATTCTAACTTCAGTATGCATAATGATGAGACAAAGCCAAGTTTAGAAATGTGCAACTAAGAAACAACTAGCTTGGAATACTTAAAATGAAGTATGATTAATAAAGACTCAGAGAAATTGGGGTTCAACCTGAAGATCAGAAAAACAAAACAGCCAGTCACTGGCTCTTACCTTGACCTCAGTCTGAAAATGGTGATCCTGCCTCCAGGAATCTCAGAATGAGACTGTGTTTGATAGTTGTTTCCTCCCATTTTATAATCCTCTCTAGTTCTGGGATTAAACGCGTGCACCACTGGGATTTAAAGCATGCACTGCCCGGTATCTATGGCAACTAGTGTGGCTACTGCGATTAAAGGTGTGTGTTATCACTGCTTGACTGTAAGTCTGATCACTGTGGCTGTTTTACTCTCTTGATCCCCAGGCAAGCTTTATTTATTAAAATACAAGGGAAATGCCACTACAAGGTCTCAGTGTCATGGCATGAAGAATTGTTCTTGATTGAAATATTAAGATATATGACAAAGGATTAATGTGTAATATAGAGTAGAATATTGTCAGAGGGACATTTTTTCTTAGAACAATGAGAAAACTAAAGCTAAGAGAGGACTGCTGATGGCTCTAGCGTGTAAGGAGGAAGAGAACCAGTGTGAATGAGGTTAGGCATTGTCTGTAATAAAGAGCTTTAGGAGAAAGATTTACCATCTGAAGGAAAAACATCTTTTCCATTTTTATTACTGGTTATCTCTCAGTTAAGTGATGTGTTTGCGTGTAAATTAGAGATAGTTGTTAAATTCATAGTTTAAGGGCTTGGATATACTAAAAGACTAAGATTTAATAATAAGATTTAAAAAACACTTTCTTTTTCACACACTTGATTACCAACCTAAAAGAGCTCCAGTGTGAGAACAGAGTTTAGCTAAAGATCTGAGGAGGAGCCTAAAGGGGTTCCCAAGTGACTCAGGAGGTAAAAGACAATGCAAAGTATCCCAGCACGGAGGAAATACTGGCTTTTGTATTGTTTTTCTATTTATTCCCTTATTAGCTTTTTTTGTCTTGGTTTTGTTCCTTTTTCTGCTTTTATGATCGACTTGCTTGTCTCTGTAGTTTCAGTCTTGTCCTACCTCTGCTGTATTTTCCTACATATGCTTTTACTCCTGCTCCTTCCTTACTTTCTCTTTTACCCCTTTCCAAGTCCTCCACTCTTTTTATTTACTATTAGTGACTTTAGCATTAATAATGTTTAACTCCTTTGTTTGTAAATAGTTAGGATCAGAGACATTTTATAACCTAAGGATGTAGGTACTCATATGCATTTTAATAATTTAATAACTTTTCTGGACAAACAATTGTTTTGTTATGAATCTCTCTGCTTCATCTCCTTTAAAGAGTAGTAAGCTCAAGAGAAAACTATATCCTCTTAAACGTGTGAATATATAAGTGTAATAAAAATATATATACATCCCAATAGATGTCTAAGTCATAGTATAATAGCAGGAGAAGTATGAAAAATTTAGACAATATGACTCCTTATCTAAAAAACAGGTAAAACCAAAGATGATGAAATACTTGAAACCTAAGACCAAAAATTCAAAAGCTCACTTTTAAATTTGATCAGTGACTTTAAAGAAGACATCAATTCAGGACCTAGAAATAGAAAGTCTGCAACATGGGTTGAAAATTCATCAAGGAAACAAGTTAAGTAGCAAATAATAGTAATAATAAATTACAATAAACCAGTAGACTAAATCAAGCAGAAGAAAGTACACAGGGATTAAAAACAAAGTCAAGGTCAAGGGTACATTTAGAGATGAGTTAAAAAAAAACAAAAGGCAGTATGTCTATGATTTTGAAAAACTTTGGAAGAGCTCAAACCTAAGTGTACATGTAATAAAAGAGTAGAGTTTCAAGACAAAGGTATTGAAAAACCTAATCAATTATAGAGTAACAAAAAATTTCTCAAGCCGGTGATATAGACAAACTAGGACTAGAGGCACTAATAATTCCTACAAAATATGGCAGTTGCAGAAGTTCTCCGTGTCACATCAGAGTTAAGGGCAAAGATTAGAACAAAGGAAGACTACTAAATACATGAGAAAGCTGGTTCTGGTGTCCCACATCGTTATTCTGGCACTTAGGAAAGTGAGAAGGATTTCAGTCACGGGTGAGTTTGTAGTACATTGAGAATACATTGAAGGGTAACATATCAAGACCGTCAAAATGGAAACAAAATGTCAAATACAACACAGCAAAAAGCTACTAGAGGAAAATGTCAATTGTGCTTACAAAGGCATCTCCATCAGAATACATTAGACATCTTTCAACAAAGGTTTGAGGAGCCAGAAAAGCATCGGCTGATAATCAGCCAAGAAATTAGGGCTTTTCTCTGTCTGCCTATCTAATCTATCCAATCTTATCTATCCAATCTTATCTATCCAATCTTATCTATCCAATCTTATCTCTCTCTCTCTCTCTCTCTCTCTCTCTCTCTCTCTCTCTCTCTCTATCTCCCTATCATCTACCTAAATAAAGATAGAGGATGGTTATGTTCTTTCTACTCCAGATTTCTTCCGGGATTTCATTTAAAAAAAATTGATATTGAACTTGTTCAAGGGCTTTTTCTGTATCTATTGAGACAGTAAGATAATCATGAGATTCATGTTCCCGAGTGTTGTATATGTATGTGTTATATTAATTTGTTAAATTCATTCCTAAATCTCTGGAATGAAACCAACATGTTTATGGTATATTACAGACACACACAGTATGACAAATGTATAGCCAATAATACACAAAATGGGGAAAAATAAAAGCATTTTCCCTAAAATCAAAAGCAAGACAAATCTCTCCATTCTTACTAATTCAACACTGAAATTCTTATCTAGAAAACATGAGAAAGAAATCAAATGATTATAACTATTTAAAAAATGAAATATTCAGTTAGCCTTATTTGAAAATGACTTGATACTAAAAAGTCCTTGATAGGGGCTGGAGAAATGGCTCAGCCAATTAAGAACACTCTGCTCTTCCAGAGGACCATGGTTCAATTTTCAGCACCCACATAGCAATTCACAATTGTCTGTAATATCAGTTCCAGGGGGTTTGGTGACCTCTTCTGTCTTCCGTGAATACTAGGTATGCACATGGTGCACATAAATGCGTGCAGACAAAAACCTAGATATATAAAAATAAAAAAGGCCTTGATAAAGGCTCCCCAGTAAAACTTTTTGATCTGACAAATATTTCCAGCACATAGTGGAGTACAAAATCAACATCCAAAATAATTTTAAATATACAGTTATAATCATGCTGAGAATGAAATCAGGAAAATAATTTTTCACATTAGCTTCAAATATAGAAATAAATAATTCTAACCATAGACATGTAAACTGTGAAACACTGATGAAATTAACCAAAGAAGATAGTAGAATATGGAAAGACATCATATGTCAATGGATCAGCAGAGTTAATATTGTGAAAATATGTATACTACCCAAAGTCCTTTATAAATCTAATACAGTACTTACCAAAATTTCAATAACATTCTTCAAAGAAAAAGCAACTAAACTTCTACAACTAAATGAATCCCAAATAACCATAGCATGTTGCAAGGAGGGGCTGCTTGTTCATCCCAGCTGCCCGGTTAGCTTAGCCCCGAAATAACCACACAGAAATTGTATTCATTAAAGCACT